GGACTTTCCCATGACTATTTTCTTTTTAACAGGTTATGAACTTGGTAGTTTTAGCATTGAGTCCCATTGGGCGTGCCAAAATGTTGACCCTAAAAACTACCAAGCCTACATGGCACGCAAGTCGAGTAATTAATAAGCTAACTACATCCTTCGATTGTGTGTGGGGTGTGCTAACTCATTGGTCGAGCTCGGCTGAGGAGTAAAATGTGTTGATATTGGGTTGAGCAGGCTGCTGACTTCTTAATCTTGCGACTGCAACTGAGGAAGGAACACGTCTCGGTCTTCCGGTTCTAGAGCCTGGAGACAAGGCTGCTAGTCTTGCGAAGTTCACGGATCGTCTGGGCCGGGTCCGGTCACGGTGATTATATTCGTAAGAGTATAAACACGTCAAACCGGCACCAAACTATACGGACACAAATACTCAAAGAAGATGTATGTCTTGATATAAATGTGGTTCAGCCGTCATAATGCCGAACTCTAAAACTTACTTGTGAATATCTAATCATAAAACAACTCGGCGTTCAATGTACCGAGCCTAGTAATATTTAACACCTTACTTCGCCGAGAAGGCTAATGAGATGACCTTTGCCAACAAAAACTAAAAAATCCTTCTTGGCTGAGACTTGGATAGATAACTAGTCGGCCTCGACGCAATGCTATTTATCCAAATTGAAGGTGCTCTGCAGTTAGCTGATTCTACGGCAGCAATGCTATTTATCCAAATTGAAGATGTCACCAGTTGCCTTCACAGTACTATTTATCCAAACTGAAAATGTGTCGGTGGGAAAAAGAATTTAAATAAAAATTTCAAGGTTGTTGAGAGGTTTTGCGTAGAGCGAGAGTTTGCGCATGGCAATTTGTATGTTGAATTGGATGGGCTTTGAATGATGCACTCCTTTTTCTATTTATAGCAGTGAACCCACTCCTGGCCAAGTTTGATGTATGCAATCTCGAAGTATATACAAACAGGTTTGACGGTTGGATCGTTGAAACTAATTTCGTAGAATGCGTATCCCATTAAAACAATAGATTCGCTAACACTTCGAGTTTATTTATACTTTCATTAAGTATAACATAAGATTTTGTGGTATCCACTAGTGTAAATATTTTAAACTGAAGATCGAATTTTTTCATTGTATTCATATTAGGTCAAGGAGTGTAGCTGTAAAAAAATCATCAAAATCGGAGTTAAAACTACTGTTAAATCATGATTTTTTTGTTTATAACCGTCAAAAAGTTTTGTCCCATACTTGATATATGAATGTTTATTTTTTGTGATTTTTGGCGTATGCGATCTCAAAGTATATACAAACAAGATTGACGGTTGGATCGTTGAAACTATTTTCATAGAGTGCATATCCCATCAAAACAATAGGGGTGCGTTTGTTGCACTGGACTATCTCGGACTGGACTAACTTAAGGGACTAAGCTGGACTGGCTTAGACTAGACTAAACTGGACTGATTTAGTGAAGCGTTTGGTGCAGTGTCAGACTAAGAAGTAGGATTCTAATATTATATTATTTAATCTATATCTATAATATTTTATTATTTACTTAATATATATTTATTAATATTCTATTATTAATTTATCTTTTTCTTATTTTCTATAATCATTCTTTCCAGCTAACCTCTTCTTTTTTTTTCCCTTGCCATCTTTCTCCCTTCTCTTCTATGTATCCAAGTTTCTTCGCTCCTTTTCTCCCTCTGTTGCACAGACTATTCGAATTAAAATCATAAAAAATGGAGACTTGCCTTCCCCCAAAAAACCCCAACCTCTCCCTCTCAAGCTTAGCATCGCCAATTCAATGGCAGGCATGGTGAGTTTTCCTATTCAGCTCATTCTCCCTCTTCCCTTAGTTTTTCCTTTCAAATCTCTCTCTCTTCCCTTTGCCTATTTTCCCATCTAGCTTCACTTGTTCTTCCATGGGTGAGGATTGAAGTTACAAACGGCACGGATGGGTGGGGTTGGGTATGGGCGTGGGCGGGGATTGGAGTTACAGACGGCAAAGGGTGGGTGGAGGAAGACGAGATGGATAAACCTAACCATCGAAAATCGAGGTCGAGGTTAATGCCGTTGAAAATTGAAGATAGAGATGGATGAACTAGCCGTCGAAATCGAGGTCGAGGTCGAGGTCTATGCTGTCAAAAATTGGAGACTGAGATGGATGAACCCAGCCGTAAAAAATTTTCTATCTTCCAAGTTCCAGCTTTCATTGAAGCCCATGCTGTAGAAAATCGAGGTCGATGAACCTAGGGCAGTGAAGCAGACGAAGACGATAAAGGATGCTGCGATAGTGGACGAAGGTGAAAGAGGATGATGGAAGGTCTTAGCTAAACCCGTGGGTGTTGGGGTCTCTCGCTAAGACCAGCTAGTGAAGCCGTTTGTGAAAACGAGTCCCACCTAGTGCCATTAATGTTAGTCCCGCAAGCCACCAAACACAAGACTACAATCCAATCTAATCCAGTGAAGGCTAAGAAGGGTAAACAAACGCCCCCTAGATTCACTAACACTAGGAGTTTATTTATACTTTCATTAAGTATAACATAAGATTTTGTGATATTCACTAGTTTAAATATTTTAAATTGAAGATAGAATTCATTTATTGTATTCATATAGGGTCAAGGAGTGTAGCTATAAAAAATCATCAAAATTGAAGTTAAAACTATCATTAAATCGTGCTTTTTACTGTCGAAAAGTTTTGTCCCGTTACTTGATCTCTGCATGTTTGTTGTTTGCGATTTTTGGTGTATGCGATCTCGAAGTATATGCAAACAAGTTTGACGGTTGGATTGTTGAAACTATTTTTGTAGAATGCGTATCCTATCAAAATAATAAATTCACTAACACTTGTGAGTTTATTTACACTTTCGTAAGTATAACATAAGATTTTGTTGTATCCACTATTGTAAATATTTTTAATTGAAGATCAAATTAGTTCATTATATTCATATAGGGTCAAGGAGTGTAACTGTAAAAAATCATCAAAATCGGATTTAAAATAACCGTTAAATCGTGATTTTTCATTTATAAACATCGAAAAGTTTTGTTCTATTACTTGATCTCTGAATGTTTGTTTTGTAGATTTTTGGTGTATGTGATCTTCAAGTATATACAAACAAGTTTGATGATTGGATAGTTGAAACTAGTTTTGTAGAATGCGTATCTCATCAAAACAATAGATTCACTAACACTTTGAGTTTATTTATGCTTTCATTAAGTATAACATAAGATTTTGTGATATCCACTAGTGTAAAAATTTTAGATTGAAGATCGAATTCATTCATGGTATTCATATTGGGTCAAAGATTGTTTGCTGTAAAAAATCATCAAAATCGGAGTTTAAATAACCGTTAAATCGTGATTTTTCGTTTATAATCGTCGAAAGTTTTGTCCCGTTGCTTGATCTCTGAATGTTAGTGTTTTGCGATTTTTGGCAAATGCAATCTCGAATTATAGACAAACAAGTTTGACGGTTGGATCGTTGAAACTAGTTTTGTAGAATGCATATCCCATCAAGTTGAATGGTATATATATTTATTAAGTAGCTTTAAATTTTTTTTATTTGTACGTATAGCACTTAAGAAATTGAATGATATGTATATTTATTAAGTAACTTTAAATTTAAGGAAAATTAATGAAAAGGATTTGAAAACTTTGAGTTTTAACGATAAGGACAAAATAAAAGATTAAGTGAATAGTACGATAATTGACTTTTTAGTGTAAAAATATAATTTTTTGTTAAAAAGAACAATATTGGGAGCTTTTCATTAAAGTTCCGTTAAATTTATTATTGTAGTTCAGATCGGGTTCTTGTTAGAAAAATATATTATTGTGGGTTTTATGTAAAAAAGAAAAATTGAATTTGAAGGGAGTAAAATCATATTTCCAGTAAATTTTATAAGGAAAACTAATGAAGAAAGTTTGAAAACTTTGAGTTTTAATGATAAAGATAAAATAAAGGGTAAAGTGAATAGTACCAGAATTGACTTTTTAGTGTAAAAATGTGATTTTTCATTAAAGTAAACAGTACAATAGAATTTTTGTTAAAACTCCTAATTTTATAATAATTTTTTTTTAATATAACTGGCGCAACGCCGCAGTGTGGTCGTTGCGCAAAGAGCCTTTGCATGACAACACAATGTATACATGCGTGGTGCAATTTGTTAAAATTTTGGCGGTACAATTGAAGAAAATAGGGGCTGTTTTTAAATTTTTCCAAATTTCTCTTTCTAATTGAACAAAAAGGAGGTGCAATTGAAGAAAAAAGTCCAGACAGCAGCCACTCGATCGGTCTCTCTCTTCCCTCCCTCATCTTGCCCTCTCTCTCACTCCGTCTCGCTCTTTTCTCCCACTCCGTTGGACGAAGACGAAGAAAGACAACAGCCACTACCCACCCATCTGCTCCTCCTCCGCTCCAACCTCCGTCGGAATTCCTCGCTGTTTCCTCAATTCCGAAGGTCCATTCACATCTCTCTCGCTCAATGTTTTTTTAATTGGTTGCAAATCTGTGATTTAGCTCGGAATGGAATGGTTGCAAATCTGTGATTTTTTTAATTGGTGGGTTGTTTTTTGTTGGTGAGATCTTAGGGTTTTGATTTTGGTAGAGTGGGTGATTTTTGTGATATGGGGAAGTGGGTAATGGTGGGTTTGTTGTTAGGGCGAGATTTGTGAGCTGGGATTTGGTAATTTGAGTAGTTGGGGTGGTTTTGGTTGATAGAGTGACAAATTTGGAGATTTCTACTCTGTTTTTGGCAGAGAGTTTGATTTGTTTGTTATTTAGCTTTCTTTGTACAAGGGCTGCGGTTATGGTGGATCTGAAAGTTCGTGTAATAAACAAAGATTCATGTGGAAGCCAGTCGGAGACTGCTTTCTTGGTGAAGATAGTGAGATTGTAGAATGTTCAGAATTAGAGCCTGTTCTGGTAATTGGTTTCTTTGTTATTTGGCCCGTGTTTGGTAAAGCTGAGCACAACGTGCCCAAGACACAATGCTTACCCTTTTCTTCCCAACTAAAATCTAGAACCTTCAAATAACCATCCACGGAGTCTGAGAGTTATATGATAATCCCATTGGCTTTGCTAGTACATTCTTTTCATGTTCTTCGGCTTAATTAAGGTTGTTAGAGTTTAATTGGTATTTGAGTAGCTCAATTCAGGGATTGGAGGTAAGGTTTTTCACTTTTGTTAAGTGTCCTTTTGATTTGCCGTTGCCAAGAAAGGATATGAAATTATACACATGTGTGTGTATTTTTATATTTATTGTTTCAGCTATTTCAAGTAAAACATGTGTATGTAGTTGATCAACCAAAACTACTTTTGAATTAGTATTGTTTCTACCTTTGCAATACTGCTTTATATATATATGTGAACAAATGCAAGAAAGGATATGATATTACTTTGGCTGCTAATTGATTAGTTTCAAATGCAAGGAAGGATGCATTGTATGATGCACTTGAGAAAGAGCTTCTAGAAGATGGTGAGAGTTTAGATTAGATGTCTTTCAAATGTCATGTGTTATGATCTAGTTCTTTTGAAACTTACTCCTCATATATTCTGTATACTGCTCCTTTTGATAGGCACAAGTAGGCAGAAGACATCAACTGACTTTAAAAATGAAGTTAAGAACTTGAGATTGGCCTTTATCGATATGTTTTTGAAGCACAGAACATTGGCAAGGGAACTGCTGAGCCACTGTGACTTGGATGCAAAGAATAAAGCTGAGCTTAAACGTTTGAAGGGTAAAATTCTTACACCTATTGTGTCATACAGCTTTTTACCAACCTGTGAGATAATTTGCCAAATACTTTCTTAACATTTCTCCTTGTTTGCTCTATATATATATATATTATACACACACTATACACACATTTATTTTTGTATCTTTTTTGGGGTTGAGAAGGGCAGAGCGGGTTAGGGTGGAGAGGGTCTTTTTTTTTGGGGGGGGTGTGGAGTTTGTATTGATTATTAATGTTGTCCTTCGTGGGTAGTCTATTTCTCCTGGCCGTAAGAGTCTAATAATCCACCTTGGTTGGTATCTTCTCCTCCCCGTAATGAGAGTCTCTCTATGAGCGTTCTAGATTACTATTTTCTGAAGGTGCAGAATTCTCCGTCTTTTCTTGCACTTATTTCTTTCTCCAAGAAGCAGCATCGCAACTGCCCCTGGAGACACCGATCGAGGCCGCCACTGTACTCGAGGATGCAAATCTTCATATCATGACTGAGATCTTAGATCAAAAGTTCGGTTGTCGTCATGGCAAAGTTGTTTAGGGTATGGGGAAGGTGCGGGTTCATGAGACAGATGCCTTGGAAACCCTAAAAGGTAAGATTGCGACCTGGAAAGCCCAGATTGCAGCCCAGGACGAGAAGATGAGTATGATCTTACGGGCCTTACAGATGTCCGGCCTCCAAATCCTGATGCTAGCACCTGATCTTGCTTCACCTTCGACCTCCCAGCCACTTCGCCCAGCCGATACCCAGTAGCCTGATGCATCAAACCTAAACGATTACGTCTCGTAGTTTTTCTTTTATGTTCGGACATCTTGTATGTACATTTTCATATATTTTATAATTAAATACTTTTTTTTTTGGTTTATTAATTATTGTTTATAATTTAATTACAATATTTATAAAAAATTAAATAAAAATATTTTGTAAAAAAAAAAAAAGGGTTTGTGCAATGAAGAAGTAATTTGGGTGACGCAGGTACTGTCGTCGTGCGCAAACCCTACTTTCACAACCTTTGCGCGACGGTTTGCGCACAATAAAGATGTCGTTGGAATAATTTTCATGCAACGTTTTTTTTATTTTGCGCAACAAAGGTACCTACGTCGCGCAAACTATTTTTTGTACTAGTGAAGAAGCTTGGGAAGCAGCCGTGTGCCAAGGAGATAAGGGCCTTTTACTGTACATTTTGGGATAGCCCAAGCAATGTCAACCTTTGTCATTCGCCTATCGATCCTTTGACCTACTTTCAATCGTTAACCCACCAACTATCTTAATAGTCGTAATTAGTTTAGTAGTTTTACATACAATTGCACAAATATTTTATTTTTAATATAACTAGCATATGGGCACACACAAAGTATGTTAGAAAATTTTTTATTTTTGTTTTTGAAATAGAAGGAGAGAGGAAGAGAGTGATACAGAATGTGGGAGTGAGAAGTTTATTTTATTTTATTTTATTTTATTTTTTAATTTTTAATTAGAGATATGTTATGATTACATGTAGGTGAGGTTTTAAAAAAAACAACAAAATTTGATTGTGTGAAATTACATTTCTGCCCTATATTTCTTATTCATGTTCTGTTTTAATTAAAGGGTTAAACTGGTAATTTCATAAGGTTTTGGTTGACAATGGGTGTTTTATTAATTAGTAGAGATTAACAACAACAATCAAGCCCACTTAGTAGAATAAGGTTTTGTGACATCCCACATCGCTCAGGGGAGTGATCCTTATATGTGTATTCTCATCCTTACCAAGCACAAGGCCTTTTGGAAACTCACTGGCTTCGGGTTCCATAGGAACTCCGAAGTTAAGCGAGTAACGCGCGAGAGCATTCCCAAGATGGGTGACCCATCGGGAAGTTCTTGTGTGAGTTCCCAAAAACAAAACCGTGAGGGCGTGGTCGAGGCCCAAAGCGGACAATATCGTGCTACGGTGGAGTTGGGCCCGGGAAGTGGTCCCGTTCGGGCCGGGATGTGACAATTTGGTATCAGAGCCTAACCCTGGCCGTGGTGTGCCAACGAGAACGTCGGGGCCCTAAGGGGGGTGGATTGTGACCACCCACATCGTCCAGAGGAGTGATCTTTATATGGATATTCCTATCCTTACCTAGCACGAGGCCTTTTGAGAGCTCACTGGCTTCGGGTTCCATGGGAACTCCAAAGTTAAGCGAGTAGCACGCGAGAGCATTCCCAAGATGGGTGACCCATCGGGAAGTTCTCGTGTGAGTTCCCAAAAACAAAACCGTGAGAGCGTGGTCGAGGTTCAAAACGGACAATATCGTGCTACGGTGGAGTCTGGCCCAGGAAGTGGTCTCCTCGGACCGGGATGTGATAGGTTTGGTAGTTGTTGTTATAAATAAATAAGTTTCTTTACTATTGTGATTTATTTTAACATTTTAGGTTAATATTAATTAGAATTTATTTATTTATTTAAATAAATATCGTTTTAATTTCAATTTTAAAAAATACATATTTAAACACCTTGCCCGAGAATACATTCGTCAAGCATGTATTTCTTGTATTTTTTTTTATATTTTATCTTTAAATTAATTGGCCGACAAATATTTCGTCGGAACTAATATTTTTTTAATTTTCAGAAACCTGTCGAAATTAATAATGGTGTCAGGCAAGTTTCGTTTGGCGGATCAAGTCGGTCAACACTCTTCACTCGATGATATTATTTTGTCGAGCAAACACCATTTGCTTGACAATTACTAAAATTTCTTCAGGCAAGCATTTCAGCAACGGGTTTTGTGCGATGAACTTTGCCCAATGGAATGTTGTCGGGCAAAATTAGAGTGATGAAAACATATTTGGCCCGACAAAGTTATTTCGTCTGGAAAGGTTTTTTTTTTTTTTTTTTTTTTCTTTTCCTGGTGTGATCTACAACAACTTGAGAGAACCAATCCTAACATCTAAAACTCACCTTACACATAAAGATTTAGGCTAGGAAAATGCCAATTACAATCGATATGCACTAACACTATGGCATTTAGCATGTACCATGTTTGCCTCGGTCATGAGGTCTTGGACATGTCCGTCAAGTCCCATTAATCCCATGAATTCGTTGACGTGTGATCCTGGGTAGATTGGTGTGTTGTTTGAAAGTAGTCAACTTCATCGAGAGGCTCAAGATCTTATACTTTGCTATAGACTATACTTTTCCCTTGCTGATTGCTGAAACAAAGCCTTTGACACTAGAAGCGCTCATCATTTGATCTTATCACTCGAGAGTTCTCATGGTATACTACATTTGAAGTTAAAAAGTATTACGATATTAGAATAAAGAAATAATTTGGCTACTACTAAATTTATAGTTGAAGAGGAAAAATATTGTTCAGAGTGATCTGGTGTTTGCAAATAAGGTATTAATTGATTTACGAAAAATACGAAATTATTTATTGATCGAAACCAAATTTTGATTCTCTTGTTTTCTCATTTCTCAATACCGCTTTTGTTGTACTTTTCCACACTAAAACTACTGTCCTAAATGAATGTCGTTTCCACACACTGACTGTACGACAAGGAAAGAAAATATACGACAATGGAACTGCAAAGCCAACAGGCGACGTGGAGGGGATTGAAAATCAAAGAAGATAAGGCCCCCAGCTGCTTGCTAGCTCCTCCCAAAATCGTCTTTTGCATGAAGCGGAAAAATGGGGAGCTCTGCAAAACTAGGGTTGGAGATGTTTGAAGTTGGACCCTGTGAAGATGCTTACACAATGGGCTTCCTAATTGGCCAGAGATTTTCAGACATGATCAAGAGCAGGCTGGCCTCAGACCTCATTCTTCACAACCAACTCCTCCCTTTTGCTCAAACCCCAGAGTTTCAGCCACTTCTCCAGTCTCTAACAGAAAATAACCGAAACAAGTATCCGAGATATTGGGAGGAGCTCGTTGGCACTGCGGATGGAAGTGGAGTTTCAGTTCGTGATGTAATAACAAATTAACAATACACACTTCGGCGAGTTCTGAGGATAACAGTAGTCACTGGCGCTCCAAAATAGTCGTTATGCACTTATTCTCAAACTCCTTAATCTCATTTTTTTTCGCTGGGTAATTGTACCGGTATTTTCATGGAAAGAGTAAAAAATGACTATTTTGGAGTGTCGGTAGCATTTTCATTGTCCCATTAATTCTATTGGTGGTATTATGATTGTTTGATTATCATGTGTGCAGATAATACTAATCAACTTCAGAAAGGAGATTCTTCCGCTTCTTCCAAAGACCACGGCGATGAATCAGAGTATCGATACGCCGGATGACTGCTCGGATGTTCTTGTTGTTAGTGATTCCATGGCAGTTGTGGCACACAATGAGGACGCAAATGTTGCCCTGGTTGGCCACACGTATGCTCTCTTGCATTTTTAAAATCTCGGCAAACTATTTATCTAAAAAAAAAATGGAAATTGCAGCAGCAAAGCTAATGAGATTTTCGAAATTTTGCAGCTATTTGATAAAGGAGACTCTGTCAAATGGGATATCATTCATTGCTTACACTTATGCAGGAGAGCTCCCTAGCTGTGCATTTGGGCTCAACACTCATGGACTGGTAAGAAATAACCGAAACAAATTGTTCCAGCATCAGTTAAATAAAATTGTTCGTACTAAAGAAAAACGAATTCGTAAACTGCAGGCTTTTACGCTGAATTCAGTTCCCCCATCGGAAAATGAGATTGTTGCCGGAGGCATTGGGAGGAACTTTGTTTCACGAGACCTTCTTGAAGCATCAAGCATCGACGACGCATTATGTGTAAGACGCATAGTCTGAGTGCTCTTTGCAAAACCATGTTCGCTTGATTATCCGAGGTTTTAATAGTGTGGATTGCACTTTCAGAGAATTAAATCATCAGAAGTATCTGTTGGACATAGTTACAATTTGATCGAGACGAGGACACGCAAAATTATGAACGTGGAAACTGCTTCAAGAAAACGGGTTTCGGTTTATGAGGTTGGAGCAACACCATTCTTCCATGCAAACATGTATCTCCATCTCCAAGTTAATCAGGTAAGAACTGCATGCAGCTATGTTTTAAATCTCAGCTTATTTACTTGCATCAGCAGTGTAACGCAGTAGATTCTAGCACACAGAAGGGTCACCAAAGAATATAAAACTGATGGTTCAACCTTCTTCAGTTCTTACATAGTAAATCATGTTGTTTCAATGAAGTTACAAGATGAAAACTCCATAGCAAGGCAAAGCAGAGCAGCTGCGCTACATAAAAGATCGAAAGACAATTTCCTATCACTCCTAGGAGATACGGATGACCCGAAATATCCAATCTACATGATAGGTAATCTAGAACATAAACTAAAACCTTTTTTTTCCTTCCCTCCAAAACACTCGTGGTAACACTGTATGCCGAGTTTCCAGGTCCATTGCTTTATACTCTATGCACGGCCGTGATAGACTTGGACGAACAAACACTGTCGATAGTTGAAGGGAACCCAAGAAAAGGAAAAATCTCTCACATCTTCTCTACGTGTACGGAAGATTTCAAGATGCCATAACAAAAGCTTCAAGCAGCCTACCTACATCTAGTTGCATAAATCAGACATGAAGCTCCTAGGCAGGTTCGTAGAGGCCTAACATGTGCCCGTCAATACAGCGCATCGACGCAACCTGGACAGGAGATATTATTAGGACACACATTGCACCCACAGTAACAACAGTAGAAAATTTAAGTTTATATTAAATTTGTTGTTGGAATTTTGGTCATCACCTTGCCATGGATTTCGTACTTGATAGGACCATCTAGTTCAGCGCCTAATGCCATTAATTTCGTCACTGATTGATTAATGTCGGTCACCGTGAAAGACAGAAGTGAAGAGTTTCCCATTCCCTTCTGCATTACATGATCACTGTAAACTTGAATTAGCAATTTAGCATCTCCCCCTTCTTTTAATTGCACATAAATTCCACAAACATAATTATTTTAAAATTAAATCACAAAAAGTGTGAACATTTTTGGATCAGAAGAAAAACCCAGTGAGAAACAACTCTGCTAGGCAAATAATCAAACAGGTGGTGTGCATTACTTGGGGGATTGCATGAGAGCTAGTTTGAGTGGGCCGGATTTCAGCTCCGCCCAGCGAAGAGTACAGACATCGACAGTGAAGTCCAAGCCTTGCGCATAGAACCGAGCAGCTTTCGGTACGTCCTTGTGCAGCCGCAATATCCACCTAAATGACGCCGTAGCTGCCATCTCTCTGTCGCAGGGGAGACTGATAAGTTAATATAACGTAAAATATTTAGTAAATAAATATGATGAAGATATTGAGGTAATTAAATCAGGATAATACTTCGCAAGTGCTTCTTTACCACAGTGTTAGAAAGGTGTTGAGCCATTGCATAACAATGTGGGTTTTGGTTTTAATTAGATGCTTGATCATCATTTAGGTTTTAATTAAGTTGATTTGATGCAATTTAGATTAGATGCATACTTAACTTGGGTTTTGGCTTCTTACAGTCAATACCATGAATTCCTACTTGAAGGTTTATGTGATTTTCCAACGCTTTTTTCATAGCGCATGTATTCTTACTTGTTCAAATTCGTCTAGATGCCGTAGAGAATTGCCATGTGGGAATACTTTTGATGATCCAGATGCCATAGCCATTGAATAATTTAGGGAAAATCGACCATTAATATGGGGACTTGTTCATAACATATTAAGGGGATTAAGTATAATTGGTTATCGGAAGCTCTATATCATGTCTTATGTTTTCAATTTTATTATTTCCATGTGTTTAGTTTCATGCTTAATTTAATTTACATTTTAATTCAGAATTTTCTATCATTTTTGTTAAAGCTTCTCAATTATAATGTGTTTCAATATAGTAAGTAAGATTTATAGAATCAATTCAATCTATGTGGGATGATATATGTGCTTATATGCTATACTATCATCCGAATCGCATACTTGCGAGCACTAAAATTCAAAACTTAACGAGTTTAATTTTGGTCATCTAATTTCTGCAACAAACTTGGGTTCTATGAATTTATAGAAGAGGAAGTATCAATTTGGATTTTTGATTTGTAACTAGATTCGTATCTATTGGATTTTTGGCTCATACTCATATATTAGATTCAGTGGCAACCCATCTCATGTTTCTCCACTCTAAATTGAAGATTAAATACGGTTCATCTGCTCAACAACGACAACAACGACGTATTGGGAAGATACATGCGGCATTACACAGTCCAATAGGATTTTGCGATGCAAAAGAGTAAAGCAATTTTCAAAACTCAACATTCCCAATCTTTTTTTAGTGTGCTGAGTTTTGAATTTCATTGAATTTGTGGGATTGGGATTGCGTTTATTTGAAACTGGTTGAATTGTGTAATTGAGTTGTCTGGGTCTTGAAGAAAGATTCAATTGAAATGAGTTGCAAAGTTATTTGAGTTTTATGGAATTGGGATTGTTGGGTTTTTACACTCTGTTTCATTAGTTCCATGTTTGTTTAGATATGCAAACGAGGACGATGGGTTTTGCAGTTTGCAACCTTCTTCTTTTTTTTTTTTTTTGTCTTTTTTTTTTTTAATTGATTAGAATTTTGTTTAAGTGTGTAATAAGGAGGATTTAAGCTGATAACCTTAGCGCCTACATGCTTACCTAATGTCTTCATTTGAGGATACATGAGGATCAAATCCATATTGCTCATAAGATTATATTAATTTAGATCCAAAGACTAAATATATTTGACAACTTAATAACACAAACCCCGCTTAAAATCCATAAACCATTTTTTTGTCAAACATTAATTGATGGAAGTAAATTTTACAAGTGATAAACTTAAATAAAAGCTGCTAGTAAGCCTAGGAAAAAAGAGTCCTATGCAAAGCACATGATGGCCCAATTACCACTATGTACCTCACCAATTTGTCATTCGGGGTTAGTCGATATGTGGTCAACATCGACAAAACACAAGGGCTAAAATACAAAACCACAGATGCAAACATGACCAAAACTAACAGATCTAATACCTAACTTAGCAACTACAAAGATGCACAATGAAGACATAAATTTGCCTCTAAAAAGCTCAACAAGAAATAAAAGCAGCTAAAGCCAACAACCGCTTCCACCACTCGAGGACCATCAGAATTGTAGAAGGAGGCTGCGTAGAGACCCAAACCAGCTGCAAAGCGGTTTTGCACAGCTTATCTAAGTGAGCGACAACTCGCTCTCAAGGAGGGTAGCAAACACAGTGGCCAATAGAGGCTTCTCAATTGAAAGTAAGCATCCAGCAAGCAATTTGAGGATTTGTAGGCGGAGGAGTGGGATGGTAGAGGAGAGTTCTCGTGTGATGCTCAAAGAAAGGTAATCTAAGTAGTTGATTGGGTCAGGGATTAGGCATAAATTTGGGACAAATTTAAACCTGGTGTAGCAAACTGAAAAGCTCTTAGAAGTGAGTGGAAAATAAAAAATATGGTGACGAATCACCAATATGAGACCAAGCTCAGGCCCACCACCATCGCAATTCGAGATTGCGGCTCACCACTATCTACTCACAGTTTAAGATAGGGGTGGGCATGATTCAGTTCGATGAGATTTTGAGTAAACCGAAACTAAAACTAAAACTTTTTGTGATTCAGTTCAATGCATTTTTGAAGCCAAACTAAAATGAAACCAAACCATTTGTTCGGTTTGGAATGGTTTCAAACGGTTTCAATTTAGTTTTTAAGAAAAAAATATACAATTTAAAATACGAAACACTCGTTATCTCAAGCTTTACAGTGAATGCAATCAACAAAGAACTTTTTTCTTTCTTTCTTTTTTTAACTTATCTAGAAAAAAAGTAGTTTCTAGTGGGATCATAAATCAGAACTTAGAATGAAGGACATCATACATTAGAACATATTAATAAGCATTTCCCAATCTGGACATCATAGAGAGTGCTCTTAAAGGGTACAGATTAAAATAAGCAGTAGCTAATCGAATTGCTACAAAATGTCATAATCCGTATTAAAAATGAAACTAATCCCTCATTAAAAACCAGTAAAAAGTCATCACAGAGCAACCTTATTAGCTAGCTAGGTACCAATTGCCATGCAACTTTACATGCATACATTGTGCAGTAGATAACATGTATCAATGATCCAATGTCATGACAGATGTATATTATAATTGCCTAGCAAACATACTTGCACCCTCAAATCTATGAGGAAGCTATGCATTATTTCCCTTACAATTTCAAATTCTCAATGTCTTTTGTGTAGAACATTTACCCGTTGATCACATATCCAGTGTAGGACAATGCATTCAAGTGCCCACCCCTACTAATAATTGATGATATTATGTTGAAGACTAAAGAAAGTGATGAAATATGATATTCTAGAGTGGTTGAGTTCATACTCAATGTATGGACTCTAACAAACAACCAACTAAAACATGACATTTAATTAAATGTTTATTAAGATTTGCAGTGCGGTTTTTAAAAGCCAAAAGCTAAACCAAACTGTTTCATACTTTACGGTTCAGTTTCAAAACCGTAAAACTTCACCGTTCGGTACGGTCCGATTTGGTTCATGTTTCGATATGAGTTTTTAGTTTTAAGTGCCCACCCCTGGTTTAAGTGAGAGATACGGGGAGGGCCATACTCCATGGAGATGGAGAGGGATTAGAGAACGAAGGCAGGGTGGTGGCGCGGGATGTTGGAGGGGACGACGAAGATGATAGGGCTGCTGTCGACTCCAAGCCGGAGCAAGAGCCCGCGGCTATGGGTTTACAGATCTAGGGTTCGGGGGCACGGGTTGCAGAGAGAAAGGCCATTTTTCGGTTTTCATCGTCTTCCCTTGTTCATGGTAGACTCAACTCTACTCTATCATCGTTTTCTTTTCACCCACTTTTCCTTTACATTCTTCAGAAGATTGATGAGATTCTTGATGTCAAAGTTCGTTTTTTTAATCTTCTTGAATAAATTATGTAGAAACTAAAAGATGCAACATTGTTTTCTATTTGCTTGAAACTGGTATGACTGTCACATTAATGATTTTGTTTGTCCGTCATTTGTCAGTGAACCAAACCAAACCGACTAGATCAATGGGTGACAATATCACAGTCCGAGTCCAATTCCAACTGATTCCAATAAAACTTGTAGAACATACAATTTGGAGTGAAGAGGCTACAATTACTAGAAATGTCTACTTTCCTTAACTCTCTTTCCAAACCTACATTCGTGGCACGTTAGGTGCCCAGAATAGCATAACCAAAATTGTTGTTGGTCTTTCAACTCTTAACATTACACTCATTTACAAACTGCCTTTTCAAAAATTCAAAAACTACGAGAGAGAGAGAGAGAGAGAGAGAGAGAGAGAGAGAGAGAGAGAGAACCCTAGTGAAACCATAGATATTCATTCCCGAGATTGTGCCACGGCAATATTCACAATATGAACTTCCAACCAGTAGGCGATGCAGGATCAGTTAACCCTTTCGGATGATTTAGATGTGGTTTTGGAAGCTTTTGAACGTGTCCATTGTCCCCTTGACCTTGCTTCAAGAAGCTTTGCCTTCAGGGTGTTCTCCCTTATCCGTGGAGGCAATTCGGACATGTCACAAACAGGTGATGCGAGTCTCGCCATCCACTGTCTTACTGGACTAGCCTGATTCCTCCAGCCAGTATTACTGCAGGAAGCCTCATTTACATTCCCCCCACCATCCGACATCACTAGTTGACTTCTTATAAGGTTTTCAGCCATGTGATTCGAATTTGAAACATGAATTTCATCTTGTTTATTTCCTTTTCTGTAAGCGGTGTCTTCAGTGGCTACACAACGTTCAGATTTCTGGGATGCGCTTATTTCGGGCGGCTTCCCTTCTTCAGTTTTCCCCTGCTCTGGATTCTCCATCTGGGACTTTTTATTTCCATTACATGACATGGCCCAAGCCATCTGTTCTTCAAACTTCACTTGCAAGCAGGAGGGACTCCGACTTCTTACCCTGTCAGAAGAGACCGAGTTTTTCTTTGAGGGATCTAATCTAACCTTTTCCTCGATATGATTATTGACAGCTTCATCCCCAAGCAATGTGAAGTCACTGTTGGTCGGCTTATTGAGCTCAAAACAATTTGAATCACTTCCTAAAGAATCATCTTCTTCTTCACCTGCGTCTTGAGGCGCACTCACAACCTCATTCAGAGGGACAGATTCCATTGAATTCCTACGGTTTCTTGTCATCAGATTTTCTGTATTCTTTGGAGTGTTCATATGTTTAGCTCTAAGAAAGGTCTCTATTTCAAGGCTTAACTTGTCCACTATTGAGTTTTTTCCTGAAACACCACACTCGGCTTCTTCTAGCTGCATCTGCATCCGCTCATCCAACCACGATTCAGATACATGGAGTATCAATCTATCACGGTCAGACCTTCCGGTCCAATCCTTGTCAGTCTTCTGTTTTAAAGAATGCACCTCTTGCTCATATTCTTTTATTCCCTTAGCAAACTCATCACATAGGTCTTCTAACAACTTCCTTAATTTCCGCTCTCTTTCAAGCTCTTTCACAGAATTAGTAAGAGAAGATTTGACCTCAGAAAGCTCCCTCCCTAACTTCCTGTGTAGGCTTTCTGATCGTTTTCTTAACTTCTTCTCATCTTCTAGCTCATCCCTGACGGACTGAACTGCAGCATGGATTCGATCCTGTTCTTTGTTCTTCCTAACTAGTTTATCTTCTGAAATTTGTTTCACCAAATCATCTAGCTCATGTCGATCAGCTTGCCGAACCCGAAGCAACTCCTTGATCTTAACACGAGCATGATCCAACTCTGTTTTCAACGCTTTTATCAATGCTATATTAGATGCATGCTGTTCCTCCAAGCTCCAAATCCGGTTCAAAACTTGTAGCAGTTCTGTAGATGTTTTAAGATTATAGTGTGATTCGCCAATCCTTCCCTTAAAGTCCAAAGAACTGCTAGGGGTGACTGCAGGGTTATACGGAGCCACCTGAAAAGCAAGTGGATGAAATTCTTGATCATATCATGGAAAGATATGTTGCACATGGCGCACGGAAAGACAAAATTTTCATAACCGTAGATATCAAGACAGGGCTTCCATCATGTTAAACACTTTATAGACCGAACGATACAAGATATCCTAGATAGTGTAATGCAAGTTTCGGAAAATTTGAAACCATATTTACCATTTTTTATCTTTGTAATCGGGAATGACTACAACACAACCCACATCAGTCATAATTACAGATTGTGCCTACATAATGTTTCATTTCATTACTGGTTCAATATATCAAGGATGCAGTTTCTTGAAATTTCGGGAATATTAAGGCCTGGTTTGGTACTGAGGTGATTCTGAAAAAAACTGGTATCAAAAAAAGATGGGAGCTGCTTTTGTGTTTGGTAAACATTCAACTTCAGTTTTTTTTCACAGTTTTGGGTGAAAAAAAAGCCAAAAACAAGAAGCTGCAAAACGTAGCTTTGAAAAACCGGCTTTTTTTTCACATTTGTTTTACATAAAAGTTTACCAAACACTATAATACTGCTTTTTTTTTTTTCAACAACACTTTTACAAAAAAGTTTACCAAACACTCTACTGCTTTATTTCACAGCTGCTTATTCTCACAACACAGCAAAAGCAACTTTTTTTCAAAGCACAGTAATACCAATCCGGCCCTAAGTCCATTGTTTTCCAGACACTATGACTGTAAATCTCAGTCCATAACTTATCAGTTTGCGGGCATCAAATCATACTTACCCAAGTGAGTAATCAGCGAACCGCAATTCTGCCTTGTTTCTACTCAAATAAAGAGTATACATTAGCAGAAAAACTAATTTGTGTCTACGTTAGAATTTGATTTTGCTTGTGGTCTCAATTTATATCTCCACGAGAAAAACGGGGAAAAGAAAAAAATGAGTAAGCTTAAACAGATGCTTACCTCCAGGGAACTACCGTAGCTTGCAGGCGATGCAGGCTGCAAAATGTGATTGTTCAATCTGTTCCTTTCAATCGTTCGATGATGTTGCATCAACGATGCTGCAATATGCCTCCTTAAACTGCTTGCACTTTCTGGCTGGCATAAGTAATGAGATAAAAATCAGTGGGGATTCGAACCGGGCAACTTCAAAATCCATTGATCAAACATTAAGGTATAGGGAGCCTCTATGACATGCACAGAAATCAATGAATATGCATGGTCATTGATAGGGCTCTAATTTGAACGCGGTATCTACAAACAAAAACCATATGATCCTAGGTTAAAGAGAAGCGTGCTTTCGCAATTTGCGCCCAATTTTGAATCCTCTCCCTGTAGTTTAGATATATAGATTAAAATATCGCCGGAATCAAAACAATGCAACCTAAATGGAATTCATCTGATTCATATGAATACCAAAAGAACCATGGCATCTATAATGCTAGTGAAGTACTAAGTTCAGAACAGATAAACAAAAGCTTGAAATTTACATCTGAAATAATAGAAAAGGAGAAATAATAATAACAATAAATGTAATAATCAGAGATCATCACTCACAAGTAACCATCATCAAAAGCTCCATAAATCTCCAAAAAATAAAATTGCAATAAATTAAGGCAAACAGAAAAAGACATGAAGTAGCCATCAAGAAGACACAATTAAACAAAAAAAAATATTAGAAATAAATCCACTTTCATTAAATCGGATATAAAGGAACCAAAATTGCAAAAACCCAATAAGCCAATTGATGAATACAAAAATCTCCACACACACACAAAACAAAGAAATTCAGCAGCAGACCTGGTCAGGAGAACTAGCACAATTATCAGCCAAAAAGTGAGAAAGATCAAGAGCCTTCTTGTCTCTGCTGGGGTGGTGGTGATGGAGCTGAAGGTGTCTCAGCCTAGGAGGTGGAGCACCACCACCACCACCACCACTGCCATCGGCGCCACCACCATTAGTGTGAGAAGCCCTGTGCATCTTTGGAAGGAATTGGAAGTGTTGGAAACTCCCAAAGAGCAGCAGCTAGCTTTCTAGCAGAGACAGAGGAGGAGGAGGAGCTGGTATCAATGGTAAAGGGGGAGTCTTTAATGATGGCATCAAGGTCAAAAGGGCAACAAGGTCTCCAATTGCATGAGGACACTACTGGAGTGGTTGGGCCACCACCTGTGCTTTTTCTAACCAATACTCCCCCTCTCCTTACTGTCAACTTTTCTCCCAAATTTTCCTCCTTTTCTGCTCCCCTGCCCTTTTCATCTCTTACCTCTTTAGGCTTCCTTTCCCCAATGCTTTTTTCTCTCTCATCTTTTTTATTACTATTATTATTATTATTATTATTATTTTATAAAAATATTTCCTTTTGGATTGGGAACTACAGTTGAGAATGTTGTGCAGTACACAGTGTGCACTTTCTTTTTCGATTATATGTTTTTTTATTTATCAAAATACTTGTCTAGTGTAGTGGTATTTATTTTCATTGGTAAGTGAAAAGTTTTAAGTTTGATTTTCATCAAAGGTAAATTTGAACCATATTATTGCTAACACATTGTGAGGCTTAAGATACTCTCATATCCTCTTAGTACAAATAACATCGTTTGTTTTAAAAATAAAAATAAATACTTAGCTCTGTATAAGTATGGACTTATTTCCATACTGTTCGCGTAGGTTGGCGTGATATAAATATCAACTAGTATAAGTTTCACATTGTTGTATAGAGTCAAGCTTTTTTAGTCAGATGGATGGTCATTCATTATTAGATTTGCTATCAAGATGTTGAGATTAAACCATCAAAAGTACATTTATTTAATCTACACCTTTGATATCATATTAATCAGTGAGTGATTATACATTTCTTGAGCACTAGACATCACTATTATAATGTAAGTGGTCTACTACTAGTTGCATCAATGTCTTTAATTTATTATCGCACACTTCCTACAACTTATATGTCCTCCAACCAAGGGGCAAAGACAGAGGAAAGCTAATAAGAAGCTTTAAGGTGAAAAACAACTTATAGGGAACGAGTTCACCATAATTGGGACATTTCGATTCATACATTGTCATGTGGAGATAAACTTATACATGATGATACATTATTGAATTAAAACACCATATGTTAATGAACCTGTTCTACGTTAGTTGTTTTTAGAACAACATAACCACGTCACTCTTAAAAAGTGTGAATCCCCTAATTACACCAAGACCTTCGAGATAAAACCTCACTCATGAAGTCCATTGTACCTCCTCTAACAAGTGTAGTAGACATGTGTTGATGGAAATCTTAGTTTGTGTTGATGGAAATCTTAGTTTATGGTTTGAACTTGGTATTTTTGTCCACTACTTCTAAACGCGAAGGCTGAGAAAGAGTTTTTCTTGTACTACGGAGCGTAACCTTGGCAGATCTAGAAGATACGCAACAACTTTAATTCTTTTAATAATTTTAGAAATACACTGTCACCTATATTGAATTCCTGATCTTTGTGCCAGTAAAGGCTCTCAGACGGTCAAGTTTGTAAGAAAGTATAAGACTTAAGCAGTGGGCAAGAGAATTAGAGTGTGATGATTGTGATACCAGACATGAATCCTAACATGGTATATTTACACTGGTCAGGAGAAAGACCTTTTTAGAATAAAATCTTGTATTAAACCTGGAGAATCCAATGGATATCTAGGAGCATATATTGCATGCTCTTGGGAGTGTGATTACTTGCCGCGCGCACCAATTCCTAGATTGTAAGCACTCTTAGAATATAGGAAACCTAGTTGATTTTGTGTTGGATCAGGTTCACGTGTCTTGCAGAACAAACATGGTCAATCTCACTGAAGTCATTTGGACTTCGCACACTGCTCCAAAACAAGATGATGGTGGCACCACTACTCCGCTAATCCAGCTCTGCTCGAAGAGCAATGATTGAGTGATAGCATAGTTGTTTGCATTAAAAGAGATGTTTTTGGTTTTGTTGATAATGAGTCTAACATGTGACGTTTTTATGATTTGAAACATCGCCGACAACAATAATAACTTGTTTGTATTGATAAATTATCAACGATATGAATATTGTCTATTATCTACAAAGATTGCATTGTCTACATTTTTTGAGACCTTTTACTCCTTCAAATTTCACTCTTCCCTCAACAATTCATGACTATACTATTGGTTACAACTCTTCCCATGCACAACTTTGTTAGCAGAAATGTTTCGTAAAAACTATTTTGTTACTGTATTCTTGACGCTTAAAAGGAAAGGAAAATAAGAACTCAAAACCTTATTTTATAGTATTTAAGTATTTGTATACGAATTACAGCTTCAATTTATCAACAACATACAATGTTTTATACTTGATTTTCTTTCTCTCTCAAATCTTCCGACTACAAATAGGACCCTCATGGAGCATGAGGGTTTACCGCCTGCAACGTATAGGGATCCGTGTCTTGGGATGGCCATATCTTTCATTTTCCTGGCCAGTGACACCCCCCCCCCCCGGGGGCCTTTCTCCTTCTGTAAAAAGTTGAATTCATTAGTGCTGCTACTTCTATGAATAATTCACAATTGAATATTCTTTGCATTTTTCTTTGTAAAATTGGCTACAAAGGTTAAAAATAAAGTCTTACTAGTTAAATTTATCAAAATAAAATATTAAAGACATATTCAAGTTTTGGGCTTTCCACTTACAGGAGGTGAAATTCGCTTTGGTTTGCAGTCATTTTAATGGTGTTGCCCATCATCTAGCTAAGAATATTTTATTTAGTGATTTTCGTTAGGTAATTTGGAGAAAAAATCTTACTTGTTTATGACATTCTTCTCCAAGATTTCGACCATAATCATTTGTAATTTAATGAAATAAGACATATAAATCAAATACGAACAACAAAATTAAATACCAAAAGTATATTAATAAAACAGAAAAGATATACTAATCAAAATTCATTATTTCAGTAACTAAAATTTGTAAAATGGTCATTTTGACATATATTTTCTTGCTTTTGTTCATTTTATTTTAGGTCTGAAAGTCACAAACTCCAACATGAGAAGTAGAAAATTCTGCAGGAACAGTAAAATTAAGTCGAATCGGTTTCCAGCGGTGCGGAGTGCAGATTGGGGCGGAGAAAATATATGTTGCGTGCGTTTTTATACCTTTCCGTGGCGTGCTGGAGTTTTCACTTTAAACATAAGAAATTTTTTTATTGTGACTGAAACATGAATAGTACATCATATGTTTTTATATAAATTATGGACAGAATTGAATTTTTAAGGTATTAACTTTTTAGCACACATATTATGCTATTGGTATAATAACACATAATGTACCACTCTGTGTTCGAGTCACATTGAAAAAAATCTCTCTACACAGATATGGCCGTCTTTGAGATTTCGGAAGTCCTGTGCAAAATTTGTAAAAGAGCCCCTTCTTAAAATAGTATTAAAAAAAAAGTAAAACAATGTATTGATGTTAGAAAACAATCACTTAAATGAAAATAAACTTTAGCACTCATCCATTGCAAGTTTACAAATGTCATTAATTATAAGTAAAAAAGCTACAAACATATAAAAAGCAATTCAATCTTAAACAACCAAATATTTATAAAAAAAAAAAATTCAAAACTCTAACTTCATTTAGTTAACAAATTTAGTCTCTCTAGAATTACCCTTTTTTATTTAGAAACAAAAAAAAAAATTACTCTTATAAGGAATGCACAATGAGATTTTAAAGTACTAACAAAAACAATTTTCTAAATATATAATATCATTACATAACATTAGATGACAAAAAATTTACTGTACACAGTCACCTATTTTACTGTATACTGACCGACCCAATTCTATATCTTAAATTCTGCACTCAAAGTTACTGGACCAAGAACAAAAACAAACTGAGGCCTCTACTTTTCAGAGGGGACGGTGTGTTACTTCTGGTTGACAAGTAAACGGGTCCTCTTGGTGGTCGACAGAGTTATTTTTTTCCTTCAAATTTTATTATTTATTAGATGCTGCAATATTGGTGGGGTTAATGATATGGGTGGACCATAAAAAGGGGAACCGCGGAAATTTAAAAATACCGTGTTGACAGAGCTGGTCACAATTTTAATAAAATCCGGACCGAAGCGTCTTGAGCCGGTTAGCTTTTAAAAAATGATTCGAACTGAACTGTGATGATATATATATATATATATGGTTTTTATTATATTTTAAGCACAACTTTCATTACCCACTGCTTTGCCAAGTCCATCCTGCTCTTCTTAAGCCCAAATCATTTCTATTAGACCTATTTCATTAATTCAAAAGCCCAATCCAAATATCCATATAACCATAAATAAAAAAAGACCCTTACAAAAGCCTTACAGATTCCACAGTCATGAGCTAAGAAATGGTCATATGTGTCCCCTCCAGTCAACAGTCACGAACTAAGAATAAAAAAGGCTGACACGTTAAAAAGGAAGGTTGCTTCTCTTCTTCCTCTGAATCCTTTTTTGTCAGATTAGAAAAAAAAAAATATATATATATATATGCATATATAATTTCAGTTAGAATCGTAAATCAGTATGAACGGAGCTCAACTGAATAATTGAAATTTTAAACAGAACCGCACTCAACTGAATAATTGATATTTTTCCGATTTCAATTCAAATTTTAGAGGGGAACATGGCCAAACTGGACCATGCCTACCCATAGTTAATTATATTTAATTTAAACTCAGTCATTCGTAATAGTTAATGTTTTTCACTTTAAGTACATAAGAATGCTAATTTGCAATTTTTTTTTAAACAAAATTAATTTTTTTTTTTAAAAAAAATTATATATATATATATATATGTATATATAATTTCAGTTAGAATCGTAAATCAGTATGAACGGAGCTCAATTGAATAATTGAAATTTTTAACAGAACCGCACTCAATTGAATAATTGATATTTTTCCGTTTCCAATTCAAATTTTAGAGGGGAACATGGCCAAACTGGACCATGCCCACCCATATTTAATTATATTTAAATTAATGTTTTTCACTTTAAGTACATAAGAATTCTAATTTGCAATTTTTTTTTAAACAAAATTAATATTTCATCTATTCATTTTACCTTTGTATGGGGTTGTTTAGCCTTTTTGGCCCAGATTATTTTGTTTATAATGTTGAGAAAAATTCACTTACATTAAAAGATTCTCTATCACATGATACTATTTTTGGAAAGAAATTGTTAATAATGAAATATAAATACGAATTTCCAAAAATCCTTG